ATGGGGGGATGGAGGTAGCAGGGAGGGACGGGGGTCTTGCAGAGGAACCTGGGGTGACCACCTCCTGCGTTAGTCCTCCTAGTCAGAAGCTGGTCAATTCACGCCACCACCCACCCACACTGACCACCCGTCCTGCTACCCACCCACCCACACTGACCACCCATCCTGCTACCCACCCACGTTGACCACCCGTCTTGCTACCCACCCACCCATGTTGACCAGCCATCCTGTACTCACCCACCCACACTGATCCCCCATCCTACTACCCACCCATGCACGCTGACCACCCGTCCTGCTACCCACCCACCCACACTGACCCCCCGTCCTGCTACTCACCCACCCACCCACGCTGACCACCCGTCCTGCTACCCACCCACCCATGTTGACCAGCCATCCTGTACTCACCCACCCACACTGATCCCCCATCCTACTACCCACCCATGCACGCTGACCACCCGTCCTGCTACCCACCCACCCACACTGACCCCCCGTCCTGCTACTCACCCACCCACCCACGCTGACCACCCGTCCTGCTACCCACCCACCCACATTGACCACCCGTCCTGCTACCCCCCCACCCACGTTGACCAGCCATCCTGTACTCATCCACCCACACTGATCCCCCATCCTGCTACCCACCCACGCACGCTGACCACCCGTCCTGCTACCCACCCACCCACACTGACCCCCCGTCCTGCTACCCACCCACCCACGCTGACCACCCGTCCTGCTACCCACCCACCCACACTGACCCCCCGTCCTGCTACCCACCCATGCACGCTGACCACCCGTCCTGCTACCCACCCACGCACGCTTACCACCCGTCCTGCTACCCACCCACCCACCCACACTGACCCCCCGTCCTGCTACCCACCCACCCACGCTGACCACCCGTCCTGCTACCCACCCACCCACGCTGACCCCCCGTCCTGCTACCCACCCACCCACGCTGACCACCCGTCCTGCTACCCACCCACTCACGCTGACCACCTGTCCTGCTACCCACCCCCCCACACTGACCCCCCGTCCTGCTACCCACCCACCCACACTAACCCCCCGTCCTGCTACCCACCCACTGACGCTGACCACCCGTCCTGCTACCCACCCACTCACGCTGACCACCCGTCCTGCTACCCACCCACTCACGCTGACCACCCGTCCTGCTACCCACCCACCCACGCTGACCACCTGTCCTGCTACCCACCCACCCACGCTGACCACCCGTCCTGCTACCCACCCACGCACGCTTACCACCCGTCCTGCTACCCACCCACCCACCCACACTGACCCCCCGTCCTGCTACCCACCCACCCACGCTGACCACCCGTCCTGCTACCCACCCACCCACGCTGACCCCCCGTCCTGCTACCCACCCACCCACGCTGACCACCCGTCCTGCTACCCACCCACTCACGCTGACCACCTGTCCTGCTACCCACCCACGCACGCTGACCACCTGTCCTGCTACCCACCCACTCACGCTGACCACCTGTCCTGCTACCCACCCCCCCACACTGACCCCCCGTCCTGCTACCCACCCACCCACACTAACCCCCCGTCCTGCTACCCACCCACCCACGCTGACCACCCGTCCTGCTACCCACCCACTCACGCTGACCACCCGTCCTGCTACCCACCCACTCACGCTGACCACCCGTCCTGCTACCCACCCACCCACGCTGACCACCCGTCCTGCTACCCACCCACCCACGCTGACCACCTGTCCTGCTACCCACCCACCCACGCTGACCACCTGTCCTGCTACCCACCCACCCACCCACGCTGACCACCTGTCCTGCTACCCACCCACCCACCCATGCTGACCCCCCCGTCCTGCTACCCACCCACCCACGCTGACCACCCATCCTGCTACCCACCCACCCACAGACCCCCCGTCCTGCTAAACCCACCCACGCTGACCACCCATCCTGCTACCCACCCAACCACCCACGCTGACCACCCATCCTGCTACCCACCCACCCACGCTGACCACCCATCCTGCTACCCACCCACCCACGCTGACCACCCATCCTGCTACCCACCCACCCACCCACGCTGACCACCTGTCCTGCTACCCACCCATGCTGACCCCCCGTCCTGCTACCCACCCACCCACGCTGACCACCCATCCTGCTACCCACCCACCCACCCACGCTGACCACCCATCCTGCTACCCACCCACCCACCCACGCTGACCACCCATCCTGCTACCCACCCACCCACCCACGCTGACCACCCATCCTGCTACCCACCCACCCACGCTGACCACCCATCCTGCTACCCACCTACCCACAGACCCCCCGTCCTGCTACCCACCCACCCACCCACCCACCCACGCTGACCACCCATCCTGCTACCCACCCACCCACGCTGACCACCCATCCTGCTACCCACCCACCCACCCACGCTGACCACCCATCCTGCTACCCACCCACCCACCCACGCTGACCACCCGTCCTGCTACCCACCCACCCACCTGACCACCCGTCCTGCTACCCACCCACCCACGCTGACCACCCGTCCTGCTACCCACCCACCCACGCTGACCACCCGTCCTGCTACCCACCCACCCACGCTGACCACCCGTCCTGCTACCCACCCTCCCACCTGACCACCCGTCCTGCTACCCACCCACGCACGCTGACCACCCGTCCTGCTACCCACCCCCCCACGCTGACCACCCCTCCAGCTACCCACCCACCCACGCTGACCACCCGTCCTGCTACCCACCCACCCATACTGACCCCCCGTCCTGCTACCCACCCACCCATGCTGACCACCCGTCCTGCTACCCACCCACGCACGCTGACCACCCGTCCTGCTACCCACCCTCGCACGCTGACCACCCGTCCTGCTACCCACCCACGCACGCTGACCACCCGTCCTGCTACCCACCCACGCACGCTGACCACCCGTCCTGCTACCCACCCCCCCACGATGACCACCCATCCTGCTACCCACCCACCCACGCTGACCCCCATCCTGCTACCAACCCACCCACCTGACCACTCATCCTGATACCCACCCACCCACTCTGACCACCCACCCTGCTACCCACCCACCCACGCTGACCCCCCATCCTGCTACCCACCCACCCACCTGACCACTCATCCTGCTACCCACCCACCCACTCTGACCACCCACCCTGCTACCCACCCACCCACCTGACCACTCATCCTGCTACCCTCTTGACTGCTGGAGGCATATTAGCCACACCCACCTGGGTATCATAAACTTTGGGTCACAACAACTCCCCCCCCCCACCAGGCCTTGGCTGGGGCCATATAGATTAGCACCTCCAGGCCCAATGCAAAAACCCTGCCTTATTGGAGTGTTATTGTTGTCATTGGACAAGGTCCAGGCATGACTTGTCATTGGCTGAGTGCCAGGACCTTAGGTCTGGTTTTAGCTGATTGGATATAGGCCTAGAAAGGGACAGAGTTTTCCTAGATCAGGAGGGCCTGAGTGGGTGGAGCCTTTACTTCCTTGAAACATTGGAGACAAAACGATATTTAGTGTGATGTTGGGAGTGCTTGAGGGAAGGGGGGGGGGGGGGTGATCAACCACGCAAGCCATAACACCAGCTGAGAAAGCAGTAGATACAAGGTAATTGTCTGGTTAAGTTTCCTGTACAATTTGTAGTTTATTACCATGCCCCTAAGGGTAGGATGTCACTACCTTAAGGATAAATTATTTACATTAAATAAAGTTACTGTGAATTAATCTCCTGTGTATTTTATATACAGTATTTTCTCTTAATTAATTCTGAGACTTGTATCTTAAATATTACCGGTAATCTTGAGAATTTCTCTGAGTAAATATACTACCCTTGTAATTCATAAAGTAATGCAGAAAGAATTCATTCACTCAATAAGTATTAAGAAATTAAATTTCCTAAGCACTTGGTATTAGTTATACTGGTCTTCTTCAGAATCAATTTGCCTAATTATCAAAGTTCTAGGAGGAGTGGTGGCGGCATTATTTGTTTATGAGTAACCTTATCTTCCATCTAGTCTGTAAGAACTGTAAAGATATTTTTAACATCTTGGTCATTTCTATCCCTCCCCCTTCCTCTGATATTTGGATGAGCATTTTCTGCTGCGAGGGCACACTCTTCCAGTTGTTTGGAGTTATATCAATGCAATTATTACAGTCTATAGAACTACATACAAGTTATAGCAACTATTACAGTGAGTGTTACTGTAGTTGTACAATAACAGCAGTACTTGATAGTCATAAATGTTACAGTGGTGACCTCAGAGATCGTTACAATGGTGACATTTCAGTCATGTTACAAGAAGTTACAAGATGAAAAGTAGCTAAAGAAAAGTGTGTTAAGAGAGAATGATGCAAATAGTCAGAGAAATAAGAGAGTACAAATTTACAGACAAGAACAAACAAATTACTACTGTACCCCCAAACAATATTTCAGGACAAGACCTCTCTAGAGCAATGATGTCAACTGTTTAATAACAAAGACAATATGATGATAAATTTTGTTTAGAAACTTACAAATTAACAACATCTATTGACTTACTGTGTATCTAACAAATCCTATGTACTCACCAAATAAAAGAAACCAAAAATATGTTAAACACACCTCAAACAAATGCACACATGCACACATTTACTCATGTATTGTACTGTAAATACAAGGTGTACATTCATCTTTGAGAACACATGCACACACACACACACACTTGATATACCCACCAGCAGACATGCAAATGTATAGCCATGCATACACGCATTAAAAAATCAATCATAGCTCAAACAAATTTAAGTACTGCTTCTGTTTATAAAGAAAAAAAGACAATCAGGAGATGAAAGAGGGATGTCTTTCATATCTTTACTTACTACCTTGTTAAGAAGAACATTCTCAAAATTGGTAATATACAGTACATGAACAGTTCTAGCAAAAACCTGAAATAATGACATCATATTGTGCTACGTGTTGCCACAGAGCCTGTAACGCAAGAACACATTGACCAACCACATACCAGCATAGGAAGTGGACGCCACAAACAGGTTGAGCAGAGAGGTGGTGCGACGGGATGGTTTGTTGTTGCTAGTGCCACAGCTGGTGCTGCCTTTAGTGGCGGAAGTGTTCACTGAAGCAGCAGATGTTTGTATTTCAGAACAGCTGGAATCCTGAGTGAAAGTGGTAGAGGTTTTGTTGCTAGTGAATGAGGGGAAAGAATTGACACTGACCCCACTGCTGTTAACCCCACTCCCTATTCGACTACCAGAACCTGCTGTGGCAGCTGAAGATCGTAAAGTAACCCTTGACATAGAAAATACTGAAGCACGCTCCCGTAATAGCTTTTTACCACCTTCTTTCTTACTAGGCTTTGTGACACCCACAGTACCTCCAGTTAAGACGCTACCGGTGGAACTACTCCCGCCACCACCGCCATCTTCCGCAGACGATTTCGATTGATCAGCTGGTTCTGGAGATTGTTGGCCAGATACTGCTGAGCCTAATGAGCCTGCATCCTCAAACACCATTGCATCTGAGAAGAAAAAGCTAGGCTAGATAAATCCCAATTTAAAACCCGAGACAAAATATGAAATTTAAGATACATTTACGAAACCTATACAGAAATAACGTTTGATGCATGAAAACATGAAAAAATGAAGTTGATTTCTTAAATTTGCTATGAGAGGTCAAGTCTTCTATATACTATTGGTGAAATAACCTTTAGCTTGAAATAGTTGAACAAACAAGAATCACAAAATAATGAATCCTCTCATTCTCACTTGCTAAAACCCTTTCTTTATAAATGTGTGTGTGTGTTTGTCTGTCTGTCCAAGGTTGGAGGCTAGATGCTTTCATTAAAATGCAATGAACTTACTAGGCTTCTCGAGGCCGGTGTGTTTGGAAAGAGCAAACTGGTCAAGGAGCTTCTCTACAGAGAACTGAGAATACTGATTAAGGAGATCCCGATGAATTTGTCCCATGGCTTCGTGGTTACTTTGCAACACAGTTATGTAGGTTTGTACAAACTGCAGCATCTGTGCCAAATGGGCTTCCTCTACACTCTGAAATTTCTGAAAAGTTTTGAGAAATAATTAAAGTATAAATAAAACTAAGTATCAAGCCTAAACAAGGACATCTTATTTGCTGACTAAAACAAAAGTTATGAACAGAGGCTGTAAGTATTATATATATATACCAAGGCCAGAAGAAGCGATATGATCACTACATGTAAAACAGTGACAGGAAGTGACAGTCAACAAAGAGGAATTTCTGAATTCTGTTAGTTCAAGAACAAGAGGCCATTGATTAAAGCTAAAAAAAACAATGTGCAGAAAAACACCAACATTAAAAGTAATTAAATGTCTCTTTCCAGGGACACTACAGTAGCTCCCTGTAGCCAAAATCTGACATCCCTCCCCCCACTCTCACAGTGTGGGGGGGGGGTTCAATTCAATTTCATCAATTTCATTGAATCAAGTTTCAATCAATTTCACTGAAGAAACAAACCTCCAAGAAAGAAAGTGAAGCAAAACAAACAAATGCATTGTTCACAGATGTTCAAAAAATGAGGTAGGGACAACATGTTTGAGGTTTGAACCTCAAATATGTTGTACAAGCTGCACAGTACCCCGCGCCCCTACCAGCGCAAAACTGCCCCTCACCCTAAGGTGAACAAGGGAGACAACACCCTAGCACACAAAGGGCAGCCGAAAACCAAGCAGTAAACGGCCTAGCAGAGGCAGAACCCAAGGAACTTGTGGAAGTTAACCCCAGGACCCAAGGGCAGTACTAACAGGGCACTTAGGGAAGGAAACCCTAGGTGCATGCAGCCTGAGTACTGGAGAACCCCTCCTGGCTCACGCACCACCTAGCAGAGAGTCACCATACACTAGGTACAGTGCTGAAACAACCACCGGAGCACACGACCGTTGCCTCTAGCATCAGCCTTAGAACCGAAGGGTGGATAGCTGGCGCGAGGGTCTGGGGCTCCCCCTTTCCCCTCCCGGGTATGGCTGAGCTGCGCAGACAGCGGCACGGCGACATGTGACGTCATGATCGTTTGCTTGTTTCTTTTTGGGGAGTTCTGTCCACTTGTTTGGCTTTTGGTAGCAATTTTCACCAGAATAGGGGTTTGTTTTGGGACGCTACCTTTCTGGGTGCCTGACCCGGTTGATGGCAGACAGAATGCTTCTAATCAACTTCCAATGGGGGTTTCTATAGACCATTGCTCCCCCATGCCTCTTTGAGGGGGCCAGGTTCTGGCTTGTGGTTCCCGGTAGGTCCACAGAACTCCATACACATGACTGATACCAAAGTCTAGCATTAGCATATCAGCCTGGATAAGCTCCAGGGAGCCGAAGGGGCTCCCCCCAGAAAAGGCCCAGCCAAATCCGAACCTGGGATGGAACCAAATGGGACTTCCCCCTGTTCACCAGGAACCCAAACCCCTGGGAAAGAACCAAACCCCTGACAAGCAGACTGGCTGGGAGCCCACACATACCAATCGTCAAGGTAGGCCACAATCCGAAAACTAGCAGACGCAGACGGGCCACCACAACCCGGGTAAGACGGGTGAAAACACAAGGTGCCAGATTCAGTCCGAAGGGAAGGCAACGAAAGTAGTAAGCTTGCTGCCAGACCACAACCTAACAAGTCCCTGAACCCCAGGTGAATGGGGGCATGCTAATACGTATCCCGGAGGTCCAGAGACACCATCCACGAGAAGCCGGACCATGGACAGAGTGGTCATCCGAAAGGAGGGGCAAGAAATCCATCGATTCAGACAGGACAAGTCCAGAATGAACCGAAGATCCGCACAGTCCCGTTTGGGCACTGGAAACAGGAGGGAAATCCGCCTGAGGGACGAGGTCATTTTGACCACGCCCAAGCTCACCCACTCCAAGATGACCCGACGGAGCAAAGGGAAAGAAGTTGCCCCACCAGCTCCAAACCTCCGAGGAAGAGAAGCCACCCACCACCACCGCTACCACCAGCCAGAGGACAAGTCCCGAAACGCCTACGAATTGTGGGACCAAGCATGGGCAAACAAAGCCAGCTTCCCCAACCTGTCCTCTTACAAATTATGGCTGAATTGACCATTTGCCCGTATGGCCAAATATGGACGTAATTTGAAAATGACAAAAATTGAAAATAAATTTTGATTTTTTTTTCCAAAACAGTAAGTTAAGGGTCCTCTAGTAGGTTAGGTGGGCAGGAAATTCTCCTTAAGTTTCAAAACGTCATGAAAAATGTTAATTGAAAGCTTCCTCTCCTAACCTTTCTGAGTAAGCCAGAGGACTCAAACAAAAAACAGGATAGTACATCACTTTCGTGAGCCGATTTCATTTAAAATTTCATCCATTTTTGGCCATAGCGCGCATACGAGCAAAAAGTGACGTTATTTCTAAGAGGACGGGTTGGCCGCCCACCCAGTGCCCCCCCATCACTGGGACGACCCACAAAAGGGCTGGCGCCTCATCAGAGAAGCCGATGTACGTGCAGAGCGACCACTGTGCCGACCACGCGAAGACCGCTCCGGAGGAGGCACCAGCTCAGAAGCTGGCACCAAGGGCCTACCTCCATCTGTCAATATCTGAGCCATGGCACGATCCTTCCGGGAAGCACGAGAACACCCACCCCGGATCACCAACAACTCAGGAGGAGGATGGCAACTGGCAGAAGCCGTCTGCAAAAGCTGAGAAATGATTGTGCCCGAAAACAGACAGACAGACAGAAAGGAGACAAAAACTTAAGAGCCAGGGCCCAAGCAAAATCAAAAGAGAGCAAGGACGGCCTGCCGACATGCATGACAAGAGACTCCAGGGCATGGACTGAACCAAGGCCGAAGCGACCAATGCCCTCAAGCGAGTTCCTAAAACCAAAACGGGGGCAGCCCCTGGGCCTTCGACCAGACAACAAACCTAGTGCGTTGCACTAAGAAAAACCTACCATGTAACGCGACAGCCACTTGACCCCCAAGATCTTCTGAAGAAGAATGGGTAAATTGGAGAACGAGTGGTTATCTTGAGAAGGTTTCAGGGCTTAGCGTCCCCGCGGCCCGGTGCTCGACCAGGCCTCTTTTTTGTTACACACCCCCAGGAAGTAGCCCGTAGCATCTGTCTAACTCCTATTAACTGCTAGGTAACAAGGGCATCAGGGTGAAAGAAACATTTTGCCCATTTGTTTCCGCCTCCACCGGGGATCGAACCTGGAACCTCAGACTACGAATCCAAAGCACTGTTCACTCAGCTGTCAAGCGCACGCAATTGAGTGGGGAACAAGTCTCGCATGACTCCGGGTCGAAGGGGTACCTATTGCACCTCTGCTCTTCAACGGGGTTGTAACACTGTAAAAGTGTTTGGTTTAGTTTAATACATAGAGTACATGAGTCAGAGACAGGGATTAGAGAAGGCGCCAGTTTGTCCACCGGAAAGTCACACCTCAAAGCGTTAATGACCTCAAGTGACCCGAGGTCAGATCATGAGAATTTCACCTTGCTTCCGCTAAGCTTATAATTGGAGCCGGGTAGCCTTCAAACATGCCGACGTTTAAGGAGTGGCTTGGTAGAGTGCCGGAGGCTATCTACTTGTGGGCGGAGTTAGCTACTAGGTTCCCCAATATAAACTCGGAGAGCTATCGAGCATTAAGCATTAAGAGAACAGCAGACGAGCCAGCAGAGCAGAGAAGACGTCCCTAGCAGGGAGGCTGTCGGCCGGCAGGGGCGAGACAGTCTCTGTCAAGCTACAGACCCCCCCCCCTCTCTATTCAACTTAGACTCAGTCCTCGGTGAGTGAACATTAAGGTGACTTGTCGTGTTTTACAAGTGTTGTGTGATGATCAGGGGCAGTCAATTGTAGGGTTCTCGAATTCTTGGATGATGACTCACTTTGCATATTAAACTGGAACATTTTAATTGAATTGCTAAATTATTATACTTCATGTGAAATATAATTATGAATTTATTATTTAAATTGTGTTTAACTTTGTTCCCTAGAGATTTTGAGTTGAGGTGAGAAAGCCTCTGTGGTTACTGGTTTCATGGTTTAGAATGAGTACATGATAAAGATGGGACCATACTAATAATGATCTCTTGATAACATCTTTGGTGAATATTGTGATACAGACAAGTTCCATTCCTTGTCTTGTATGTAATGATCATGAATGGATGGTGGCAGCATTTCGTCTTCTACTATCTACTTTCTACTTCTACTAGCTACTCTTCTACTTCTACCTATCTACACCTCTCCCTCCACCCCTCTCTGAACTCTCACTTTCAACTAATGACCCTCCTCGCTCCTCCCACCTCCCTACCTCTCACCCCAAACCCTCACTAATTACTTCACTATTCATTTCTTTCCTTTCGTTTTCTCTTATACGTTTGTGGCAATGATTCTGTATTCTAGAGTTCTCTCTAGAGTTTCGGGTAACTGATCAAGTGACGGCGCCTTGTAGTCTTACCACTTAGGTAGTCAAATACCTAGGTTACAAGGTGTTGAACGAGAGAGGTTGCCTTAGGATCTCTGGGAGTGTTCTAGAATAGTTAGCTAACTGGGGACGGGATAACGGACTAGAGAGAGCTGTTTCCCACGGCCTCGTTAGTTAACTGGGGGGTGGAATAATGGACAAGATAGAGCTATTTCCTCCACCCCCCCGTTACAATGATGGCAGCGGTGTTGAACAATGTTGTAGGTAGATGGTGTTCTTTTAACATTGTTCAGTCCCACGTGTCCTTTTGCCGCTCAGGCGCTATCAGGGAGATCTTGACAGGTGTTTAATATTCGCGATTTAGCGAGCTTTTTCCAGGTTAGGAGATAGTGATTCTCTGGCGATGTGGTTTAGTGATTTTGTGAGTTTTGTGAAATTCAGGGAATGTTCACCAGAACTTGCGAGTGTAGTGATTTATGTTAGTGTTAAGATTTGGTGATTTGGGAACTTAGCGGTGTTGGTAGTGGAGCTCACCTGAGTGTGACAGGTGACCTCGCATGTCCCACGGGGACACCCAGCCACCGCTGGTCTCCAGGTCAGTTGGGGATTGGCAGGTGTAGTTCTTAAGTAGTTTTAAGTGGTGGTT